TTGGCCGTGACCATATCGCCGCTCCGCGCCCGCCTCCTTGGCCGTGACCATATCGCCGCTCCGTGCCCGCCTCTTTGGCAGCGACCTCATCGCCGCCGCTCTCCCGTGATCCCTCATCTAACTCTCGGCCATCTCCGATGCCGCCGCTCTCCCGTGATCTGTCATCTCCCCCGCGGGATCCCCATCGCCACCCCGACAACTCTGCCGCCGCCGCGACATCTCTCTCTCTCTCATAGGTATTTTGATCGTTGGTGGAGATCACAGGCTCAAGGTGTAAATTTTCCCTTCATTTTCGCTTAAATTATTATGTTGCGTGTGAAGTGTTCGTGTTAATGTCTGTGAGAGGTTTTCCATATCAAACATGTTGTCGTGGCTGTACAAATTTGTTAATTGAACACTCTATATTTCCAGGGAGGCACATTTACTATAATTCTAGGTGCCGTTGGAGCAGAGTGGTTGAAGGCATTCAAGGGCTACATTTTGCATTGATCTTTCGTCTTTCAGGTAAAACTTCTCCGCTGGATTATGGTGAATGTGCAGTTGCTTAGTTTTTTGTGTTAAGAGCCTAATTGCGGTTAACAATATGTTTCCTGAGTATTCAACTCATACAACAACATAAACCATAAACTTCTTTCCCACATTTACTAGTTCAAACTCGCTAGTATCCTTGAATATTCATTCTCCCGTTCAAAATTAAGATGATTGTCATTTGAAAAAAGTTAGTGATATTCATGTTACCTGCTTTCATTTTCCTATGCTAATTAATAAATTACTATGACCTCCTTAATTGAATAGACGGTATACATGGTATGGATGGTAAACGACAAAAATTATATAAATTTTGCATCAACTAATTTCAAAGCATTGCTTGTTGTAAATTTATAACTTTCTCATTAACTTGTAAGATTTCACATATTTTTCGCTTAAATTCGAAAACTTTTTCCTGCAGCAATGTGATTGTACCCTTGTTATAACCATTTTCAGGACAAGATGATCAAGATTAACAAACCGGATCAGGCTGGTGAGGCTCAGCCAGCAGCAAAATCATCTTGCTGCGGCAACTCTTAGAAGGATAAGTTCGATGTTGGTATGAGAAACACTAATTTGCTTGTTATAGGTAGTGGTGTAATGAAAGATATGACGATAAAAGCTTTCGGGTGTTTGTATTTTACATCTTATCATTCTTTTCAACTACCTTTTAGTCTGTAATGTAGCGTTTCCGAATATATTATATTTATGGTTTCTTCTTGGATCACTACATTTGTTCCCTTTTTTCCCATGTAACTTGAGCATTTTATGTCATTGTATCCTCAGTGTGCTTGATGTATCCAGTTTGCTTTCATTCTTGCTGCCATCTCATACTTTATCATGTTCTGTGACATGATTAAGTATGTAACACAACGCGACGAGCTGGTGGCTAAACTGACCTGGGATGTAGAGCCTGTGAAGATTGTAGCTGAAGTATGAATAGAAGCTGGTTTAAGTTTTTGTGCAATCAAATGTTAGTTGTTGCTGAATTTATAGTATAGTATTTGCTGGTTTATTTCGTTATGTATTTTTGAATAGATAGTATATGCTGGTTTATGTATTTTTATGTGCAATCAAATGTTAGTTGTTGCTGAATTTATAGTATAGTATTTGCTGGTTTATGTCGTTATGTATTTTTGAATAGATAGTATATGCTGGTTTATGTATTTTTATGTGCAATCAAATGTTGTAGGAGTATGTAACACAACGCGACGAGCTGGTGGCTAAACTGACTTGGGATGTAGAGCCTGTGAAGATTGTAGCTGAAGTATGAATAGAAGTTGGTTTAAGTTTTTGTGCAATCAAATGTTAGTTGTTGCTGAATTTATAGTATAGTATTTGCTGGTTTATGTCGTTATGTATTTTTGAATAGATAGTATATGCTGGTTTATGTATTTTTATGTGCAATCAAATGTTAATTTTATGTATTTTTAATCTTCTCCTGTGACTCGCGAACTCATTTGGTTGTCGAGCATGCTTCCATAAAAGGTGCACGACAATTGGTATCAGAGCTCAGATTTTAGATCTAGGGTTTTGGTATTAGGTGAAGGAAGATTCGTTGTGGAAGCTTGATTCTTGAAGTTCTAGGCTTCGGTGGAGATAGTGTTTGGGGTTGTCGTTGAAGATTTCGCTTTCCTCGTGTGGTTAGGAGATGTATTTTGGAATCCGTTCTAGAGTTCAGTTGGGTAACTTCTAAATTCTATCAAGTTTAAATGTTCTTCTACAATTTGGAGTTTGTTCGCATTCTCATTTGAGTTCTCGACTTGCTGTGGATTGAGTCCGTTGTTATGAATTTGTTTCACTTGTAATGGACGCAACAAGTGGGACATTTGGTTTGGTTGGTATCGGCTCAGCTTTGGAAAAATTTCACTGAGGTGGAGAATTAAAGAGAAAACAGGAAAAATATCATAATACAACTTTGGATCTCCAGCGGTCGACCGCGAGCTTTGGCGCGGTCGACCGCAAACGTACGTGCACGATTACAGGGTGTTTTTTAGTTTTCCGTCCGGTCGATCGTGGTGTCAAGTCCGGTTGACCGTGAGCTTTGGTGCGGTCGACCGCCAGTCAGGTTTAGGCCTGTGCTTTATTTCCTATTCTGATTTGGTTTGTGTTTTGATATATATTAAAACACGATTTTAGGGTTTGGTTAACCAGAGAATAGAGAGTATTTTGAGCACTTTGAGAGGGAGAACTTGTGAGCGAGTTGAGAGATCATTGGTTAGGGTTTGTTCAAGTGTTTGAATGGTTGTAACCCTTTTGTACTCTCTTCAAAATAGTAAAATGTCACTATCCTCTCCCCGTGGACGTAGGCAAATTGCCGAACCACGTATATATCTGTATTTACGATTGGTTTATCATATTTTGGATTGGATTGCACTCGTGTTTGATTTGTTAATCTTCTCCCGTGACTCGCGGACTCGTTTGGTTATCGAGCACGCTTCCACAAAGGCGCGCGACATGTCGGGCTGATGCTTCATATGGGAGTCCGTCCTATTAAACACCCACCTCTCTTTGGATTATGAGTGAAGAGCGCAACCTGTAGATAGTGTGAGTAGGCCTTGTCTACATTGGGTCACATAAGGCGACTCAAGAGAGCCCTTGAGAGATAGACTACAGATCATAGGGGTTGATTTCTATATTTCTGAGAGAGAGTCAGGAGATTGGAGTATTTCGTCTATGTAATATATATATATATATTTCTCTTTTTGGTAAGTGAAACTTGTTGGAAAATATGGTTAAATTTGGAATTGAACAGTGAAGGATGATGTGCTGTTACTTTAAATTTTTTAATTAACTGCTGTGCGTTTGTGAATCGTTGTGCTTAAAGCAATATTTGGCCTACTCCGATGCAAGGATCCCAAGGTCAAACTGCTTTCAGGAACAATAGTACAGTACTCTGGTGTGCACCAACCCAGTACTGTCAAGATCTTCTCGATCTATAAGACTTTTCGGTCAAGGCAAAAGATCTCCTCGATCTCAGAACCTTACGGTTCAAAACCTTTCGATTTTAGGGTTCCTACGGGCACAGTCTCTGCAGCAACAACACAACAACAATGTCAATCTGATGTTCGTATTCCAAGCTCGCGTGGGTATACTGACGTTCGTATTCTATACTGACGTTCGTATTCCACGCTTGGAGAGAGTTTCCAACTTCAACCAAGAGCTGCCCAAGGGCGCTATTTATAGGCCTCTAAGTCCAGCTCAAGAGTCACTTGCAATTAATGTGACTGTTACAATTCTTAATGACAATTAAGATTGTAACATTAATGTATTAAATTGTTCTTAATGCTGTCATAACTGCTGCATGCTGTAACTGCTGAATACGAGGCAATCAATGGACGTGTTGCTACGAAACGCGAGGGTCACGTCTTAGCAAATCAGACGAACCTCGTTTGACAAACGAACATCGTCAAACAGGCGAACCTCGTATGACAGACGAACCTCGTCGAACGAGCGAACATAGTCAAACAGGTGAACCTCGTATGACATACGAACCTCGTCGATCGAGCGAACCTCGTCAAACAGGCGAACCTCGTATGACAGACGAACCTCGTCAACAAGTGAACCTCGTATGACAGACGAACCTCGTCGAACGAACGAACATCGTCAAACAGGTGAACCTCGTATGACAGATGAACTTCGTCAAACGAGCGAACCTTATCAAACTACGAGAACGCTAGGGTCACCCTCGTGCGAATACGTAGCTCATCCGCATGCTGCGAGGCAGTCAACGTGCGAAGTGCAAAGTGCGCCTAACAAAGCGTCACTTAACGCCTCAGCCCAATTAGCCCCGATCCCCGACCCATTGGCCCACGACCCATGACCCACGATCCACTAGAACTTATGAGGGATTAATTCAAATAAAACACTTCTCGGCTTGCTGTTGGCAAGCCTCGAACAAGGGACCTTTTGAAACACCAAAACATATACTTTCCACTAGTCTACTAAGTATTTATGAAAAGTACTTGTAGTTAATATATATATAGTTTGAAAACTCATTTTGAAAAGCAGTTTTGACCAAAAAAATCCAACAATGAAACTTTATCCTTTCTTTTCTTTTCTTTTCTCTTTTTTTTTTTCTTTCCTTCTTTTTTTTGGGTCAGTGTGCTTTCTGCGTAATCTGCGCAAAAATCCATACACCAGAGAAGAAAAGATAAATGATATTATTTAGGATTGATTTCTTTTCTTTTCCTTTTTTCCCCCCCCCCCCCCGATGCAGAAAATTAATAAATTTCTGGAAATAAGCAGCCCTAAGCAGCCCTCACATAATAGAAACTGCATCATAAACTGCAAGGAACTTGGGAATACAGGGAACATACATGCATGTACATGCTAAATTAATAGCTCAATATTGAACCGAAATCAAGTTGCAACCATCCATTATTCTCATCAGCTTTAATCCCCCGCCCCCCATGTATATACCCCATAATTAATAATACTCCACACCCTAGCAAAGGAAGTTTAAAAAAAAGAAAAAATTATAATGCATGCTAACACTTAATTAATTAAGTAAAATCAACCTAGCTAATTAAGCAAGCCATTCTGAATGCAGGCTAGGATTGATGGCAAGGTTATTGTCGTATGTCACACTAGAAGACGAGGCTGATCTCATGAGCGCGTCCATGTTGATGTAGCCAATTGTATTGTTAGGCGATCCTTGCGGATTGAGAGAGAAACATGAAAATGTTGAGCTCGGATCATTATCTTGTAGCATTGCTGTCAAGTTTGGAAGAGCATCATGCTCTTGAGCGTCGACCGTTTGATTGTATGTCGTCTCAGTCTTCTTATCGGCATCCAAGGGAATTGTTTCGTCGGTATGGTTTAGTTTAGGATGATGAGGTTCTAAAGGCCATGAAGATAGTGAGGGAAGAGCATGGCTGTGCCTATCCACGTTGTAAACGAGCATGCCATGGCCATGGGGCATGGATGACGCATGATCGATTGCAGGGAGGTAAAGGTTGCCATGACCATCTTGGCTGGGATATAGCATGCCGTTATTTGGGTATAACGTGTTCGGCGTCGGTAGCATTAACATTTCCTCGGGAGAAGAGGAAGCGGATTGGTTCGCGACGTGATGATGATGATCGTGAGGGCCGAGAGCAGCGGTGATGAGGGCACGACGGGCGTCCATGGCATGATGATGAGAATGAGAGATGATGAGTTTCTTCTTGATGGTGGAGTTCCAGAAGTTCTTCACTTCATTATCTGTTCTCCCTGGTAAGTGCTTGGCTATTTGAGCCCATCTTCACACATGCATGCATTTAGTGAGCAGTGGGGAGCTAAATTAATTAGTACATATAATAATTAAATAACTAACTTAAAAGTGATTAGATAACTAACTAAATTACCTGTTTCCGAGCACGCTGTGGAGCTCTATGATGAGGGCCTCCTCCTGGGGAGAGAAGCTTCCTCTCTTCAAGTCAGGCCTCAGATAATTGATCCACCTCAGCCTACAGCTCTTCCCACATCTTTGCAGCCCTTCACAAGCAGTTAAAACAATGAACGTACAAACAGAGATAATTAATCAATCAGACATCTAGCTAGGACAAGAGGTTACCTCTCCTTTTGTTTTAGAAAAATTCCCCAAGGACCCAAAATACGAGACCAACACAGGTGAGGTGTACCCCTCTAATTGCATAATGAGCTGGTCATCCTTAATGATGATGACCAGCTCATTATGTAATAGGTACACCTCATCTGTCACTCCTGTTGGTCCCATATTTTGGGTCCCTGTAGCAAAACTCTTTGTTTTATCTAGCTATTACTTCAAATTAATATTGTAGGACTGTGAAGACAAAAATTATAAGGAGTAGTTGCGTGGAGTATATATCGCTGACCAGCTTGTTTAGGGACGGAGCTCCAGCAGCCATGGCCAAAGGCCGAAACGTACTTTATCAGCTTCTCATCCTCCTCTGGTGACCACAGCCCTCTCCTCACCTTCTGCTTGTTGCAGCAAGAGTGATGACCCATAGTATTTAAAGTATCGTGCACTTTACTTAGTTAACAAATTAAAGGGCCAGGACCCTTGGCTAACTTTTATCTGTGAACCATACAGAAGAAAGAGAGGAGATATGTTGAGGTATGAGAATGGTGGGCACCCTGCCGCTGAATTTAATGTAGGAGGAGGGTACTATCAGTAGGAGGTCCCTTTTGTAAGCCAATTCCTGTAGGGGGGTAAAAGCTCTCCAGCTCATTTCTTAGTACACAGTACTGAGGTTTTTGGTGGTTTCCTTCCCTCTCTCATATTTATTTATTTATTTATTTTTGGTATGGGATTTTTTGGGCTTTTTGTTTTTAGGTCCATTTGTTTACCTAGCTTTATCTTTAAACCCAATGATTATTAGTTGTATCTTTAAACCCAACTTTCTTTTTGTATTTATCTTTAAACCCAATTCTTAAATACAATACATAAATCACTTGTATTTATACAGAACCATGATAAAATTCCCAAAATACCCCACTCATTACATATAAGCCCAATTCCCTAATTGAAAAACCCAAAATCCCCCTTCACCGTGACCGTCGACCGTCGCCCTTGTCGTTGCTCTTTCCGTCGCCGTCGACCTTGCTATCGGCCGTCGCTCGCCATCTGCCTTGTCGTCGTTGTTGTCTTCGGCCCAGTCGCTCGCCATCGTTTTTTATTTCTAAGTCGCCCTTACCGTCGCTCGCCGCCTTCGTCGTCGCTGTCGTTATCGCTCCGTCACCCGTCCAAGCCAATGGAGATATACTCTTGCTCTAAGATTGAAATGTTGCTGGAAATCATGTTTAATTTGAAAATTTTGGGAATTTTCAGATTTCTTACAATTACGAATTTTAAAAATCAAGATCAATAAGCCAAAACAACCCTTATTTCAACTAGGAATTTTGGAAATGTTGATCGAAATCTTGTTTAACTTGATAACATTCCGACCGATCACCCACAGTAAAGAGATGAAAGATCTCTGTCAATTTGTATATGAGCAGCGAGAGCTAAGATTTAATTTTGCATCCTTATACTAAGGGTATTGTCAGACTAAATTTTAGATTTGTCCATTATTTCAACTAGGAGTTTTAAATTAAGGTAGATAAATAATAACTGTTTTAAAAATTTGAATATGTCTTGTAATTTATTTAAAAAGTTTAGATGTATATACAATTTTATTATCTCTTCCTCAAGGAAAACTAACATCAGAATATTTTCTTCTTCAATTAATTATTTGCTCATAGTATATACAATTAAGTATCTATTGTGACCATGCTAAAAAATATTTGCTCATGGTATATTTGCTCAAGGAAAACTAACATCAGAATATTAATTGTGACCATGCTAAAAAATATTTGCTCATGGTATATTTGCTCAAGGAAAACTAACATCAGAATATTAACCATTTGCACAATGCACAAGCAACTGCTAAATTAATGACTTGATTGGCTAGTGTATTCGACTTATCTGTATGTTGTTTTTTTTTTGTATGTTCTAACACATAGAAACTATATATTGCGGGTCAAAAGTGTTATATTGATATTGTAAATATTTGAACTTGCAGTAGCCTGGCTTGTGGGGTGTTCTTGATGGCATACATGTTTAGCCTTGTTTCCGGTCAATCAATGTCAATTAACCAAAAGGATTGTGCAAGACATAGAGCTCGTATCGTTGCTCTATTTCTATCTGAAGGTACATTTTCTATAAGTGTAATGTTCATTGAACCGCTTATATTCAGTCTATTGTTCTTTTGATCCGCTTATATTTTTCTTTTAGGAAATCAACGTGATCCTCAAGACCAATTCCTAGGATGCTAGATGCCAATTGTGATATCCAATATTTATTTTGTAAAGTATTTGTATAGATATATGTTCGTCAGTATGAATATATGTTTATCAATATGAAACCTTTAGGACTGTTGTTGGGATTGATTATGTAAAGTTCCGCCACACTTTTGGGTCGTTGTATATAATTTGTCAATTGCATTTGAATTGAATGGCCGTTGTAGTGAGGTTTTTGAGTCTGCACTTGAATTTGAATGGCTGTTGTAGTTATTCTGCTCCGCTAAAATTATGGTTTTGGCTGGAGAGGTTGATTGAAACTCCTTGTTTTTTTGGCTGGAAATGCAATGTTCTAGGTCATTATTCGTCAATTGCAAGTATATCACGTTTAATTGCAAGTATAGCACGTTATATTGTAAGTATAACATGTTAGAGGTCAACGTCCTATACTTAGAGGTTAACGTGTTATACTTACGATATAACATGCTATACTTATAATTTAACGTGCTATAATTATAATTTAACGTGCTATACTTACAGGTTAACGTGCTATACTTATAATTTAACGTGCTATACTTATAAGTTAACGTGTTATATTTACGATATAACGTGCTATACTTGCAATTGAACGTGCTATACTTGCAATTGACGAATAATGACCCAGAACATTGCATTTCTAGCCAAAAAAACAAGGAGTTTCAATCAACCTCTCCAGGTAAAACCATAATTTTAGCGGAGCAGAATAACTACAACAGCCATTCAAATTCAAGTGCAGACTCAAAAACCTCACTACAACGGCCATTCATTTCAAATGCAATTGACAAATTATATACAACGACCCAAAAGTGTGGCGGAACTTTACATAATCAATCCCAATAACAGTCCCAAAGGTTTCATATTGATAAACATATATTCATACTGACGAACATATATCTATACAAATACTTTACAAAACAAATATTGAATATCACAATTGGCATCTAGCATCCTAGGAATTGGTCTTGAGGATCACGTTGATTTCCTAAAAGAAAAATATAAGCGGATCAAAAGAACAATAGACTAAATATAAGCGGTTCAATGAACATTACACTTATAGAAAATGTACCTTCAGATAGAAATAGAGCAACGATACGAGCTCTATGTCTTACACAATCCTTTTGGTTAATTGACATTGGTTGACCGGAAACAAGGCTAAACATGTATGCCATCAAGAACACCCCACAAGCCAGGCTACTGCAAGTTCAAATATTTACAATATCAATATAACACTTTTGACCCGCAATATATAGTTACTATGTGTTAGAACATACAAAAAAACAACAACATACAGATAAGTCGAATACACTAGCTAATCAAGTCATTAATTTAGCAGTTGCTTGTGCATTGTGCAAATGGTTAATATTCTGATGCTAGTTTTCCTTGAGCAAATATACCATGAGCAAATATTTTTTAGCATGGTCACAACAGATACTTAATTGTATATACCATGAGCAAATACTTAATTGAAGAAGAAAATATTCTGATGTTAGTTTTCCTTGAGGAAGAGATAATAAAATTGTATATACATCTAAACTTTTTAAATAAATTACAAGACATATTCAAATTTTTAAAACAGTTATTATTTTTCTACCTTAATTTAAAACTCCTAGTTGAAATATTGGACAAATCTAAAATTTAGTCTGACAATACCCTTAGTATAAGGATGCAAAATTAAATCTCATCTCTCGCTGCTCATATACAAATTGACAGAGATCTTTCATCTCTTTACTGTGGGTGATCGGTCGGAATGTTATCAAGTTAAACAAGATTTCCATCAACATTTCCAAAATTCCTAGTTGAAATAAGGGTTGTTTTGGCTTATTGATCTTGATTTTCAAAATTCGTAATTGTAAGAAATCTGAAAATTCCCAAAATTTTCAAATTAAACAAGATTTCCAGCAACATTTCAGTCTTAGAGCAAGAGTATACCTCCATTGACTTGGACGGGTGACGGAGCAATAACGACAGCGACGGGCGACGGGCGACGACGAAGGCGGCGAGCCACGGTATGGGCGACTTAGAAATAAAAAACGATGGCGAGCGACTGGACGGACGACAACAGCGACGACAAGGCAGATGGCGAGCGACGGTCGATAGCAAGGCCGACGGCGACGGAAAGAGCGACGACAAGGGCGACGGTCGACGGACACGGTGAAGGGGGATTTTGGGTTTTTCAGTTAGGGCTGAAAATGAAAAGGGAAAAATGAGGAGAGAGAATTGGGCTTATATGGGGCTAATGAGTGGGGTATTTTGGGAATTTTATCATGGATTTGTATAAATACAAGTGATTTATGTATTGTATTTTGGAATTGGGTTTAAAGATAAATACAAAAAGAAAGTTGGGTTTAAAGATACAACTAATAATCCTTGGGTTTAAAGATAAAACTATGTAAACAAATGGACCTAAAAACAAAAAGCCCTTGTTTTTTTCAGTAAGTCTAGGCTTTCCATGCAGGGAAAGTGTCCTGCTGTAGCATAACACAATGTTGACTTTAGTGGAAATCTCTTTTTAGAGCTAGTCAATATACGATATGAGTGTTTGGTTGTTGTGAGTAATGGTAACTATTACGTTGCATATTTATTTTACACGCTCCCCTTTTGTTATGTTTTTTTTTTCCAACCATGTCCTTGAGATCCATGCGGTTGGGAGAGAATCTGATCAGAACAACAATGTGGTTATATATTTTAAATAATGGTTAAATGGAGCCAGACTGTAGAAACCTTTGGCTTTAGATGATAAATTGAGGCTTACTGATTCTAATGCGACATGATTATTAGCCTTACCGGTTGGGAGAGAATCTGATCAGAACAACCATGTCCAAGCTTAATTATTAGCCTTACTGATTCTAATGCGACATGATTTGATTGGAAAGATAGATGGGGCACGTATATACACTCTAAATTGTCAATTTGAGGTGACAATCTAGTAAGCACCTAGAAAACTTGATACTTCAACTAAATGTCAAAGAAAAACCCACCCACCTAAGAGGCTAAAGCGCTAGATTATAGACT